CCAGCAGAGGCTGCGGTGGCCGGGAGCGGCCACTGCACTCCAGTCTGCGCGACAAGAGTGAGACTCCAACTCAAAAAAAAAAAAACAAAAAAAACATGCACAGCCGGGCTCGGTGGCTCAACCTGTAATCCCAGCACTTTGGGAGGCTGAGGTGAGTGGATTGTTTGAGCCCGCAGGTTCGAGACCTGCCTAGGCAACTTGGCGAGACCTCATCTCCACAATAAATGAAAAATTAGCCGGGCGTGGTAGCCTGTAGTTCTGGCTGCTTGGAAGGCTGAGGCGGAAGGATTGCCGGAGCCCAGCAGGTCGAGGCTACGGTGACCGGGAGCGGCCACTGCACTCCAGTCTGGATGACAGAGTGAGACTCCAACTCAAAAAAGAAAAAAAGATGCACGATTTGTAGTTATGTTTTGCACACTTAAAACTGGTCTCCAAGTATAAGAGAGTCTTTGGAGTGTTCAGTCAAGTCCGTGTCTCTCTAGACGTGCTGAATTGGGTAGTTCCTGATGTGCTGCCCCAGCTTTGAAGTGTTGACAGAGGCTAATGCCATAGGCGCCTATATTTTTATTTTGTTTTTTGAGTCTGGGTGTCACTCTGTTGCCCAGGCTGGAGTGCAGTGGCACAATCAAAGGTCACTGCAGCTTTGACCTCCTGGGCTCAGGCAGTCCTTCCACCTCAGCCTCTGAAGTAGCTGGGACTATAGGAGCACATTACCACACCCAGCTTATTTATTTATTTATTTATTTTTGTTGAGATGAGGTCTCACTCTGTTGCCTAGGCTTATCTTGAACTCCTGGGCTTAAGCAGTCCTCCTTCAGGATCCCAAAGTGCTGGGATTACAGGTGTGAGCCACCACATCGACCAACACAGACTCCCTTAATTTAGCATTTACATAGTGAAAATTCTGGTTTATTATCATCTAAGTTCTACAGCTTTCCTAACCTCTTAACATATATAATGATGATGTTAATTGCCATAATAACAGTGTTATTTTATTTAGTCCTTGTGAGAACCACATGATGTTGTAGGTACTGTTATACCTATTTCTTCGGGAACTGAGGCGCAGCAAGTGACTTGCCCAAGGTCACGTGACTGGTAAATGGTAGTAGTGCCTGGATGTGACCCAGGCCATCTGGCTCCAGAGCCTAGCCCTTTGTCCTGTGGCGATCCTGCCTTTTAGAATTGCCTCCAGCACAGCGTTCACCCTGGGGCACCAGAGGGGCTATACTGTGTGCATGAGAAACTGGAAGTCTTTCCTTTTGAAATCCTGTGTGTGGGGCTTGACTCTTTGATCACCCACCTTCAGGAAAACTGCTGCTTTATACACAGAGACTTTTCCTGGAATGGGAAGTCATTCATGATTTGGGTTTAAATGTTTCTTTGCTGGTCTGCAGTAACATATGATATGAAAATCAGGCAGAGCAAGAAAGAACCTTACAAGGGTGAACATTAACTGTCAAGCTTGAAAGGGGCAGTCCCTGATGAACAGACAGTGTTTTTTTCCAGAACACAAGGAGCAGGGTTAGGGTGTTTGTTGCCTTTTTCCTGGGTGTCATGTTCTAGAAGATGGTAAAAAGATGTAGGGAGGTCATCAACATTAATAACGGAGACACAATGGTCTGTGTTTCCAGTGTGCGTCCAGGCTTCTCTGTAGTTTGTGTGTGCATGGGATTTTGAGAACTCTGTCTTGATAAAATGTTACTCAAAACAGATTAGTCATTAGAAAGGAAATTTGGGTGTTAAAGTGAGGATCGGAGTGGTGCAGTTTAGAAGTAGATGAAAACTGGGACAGGCGGGCCTAAGAGTTATGCTGAGCCATGTGATAAAGTCCTTGGTAAAGTGACAGGTGTAATCAACAGTCAAGATTCTAAGCCTGGTGACAGAAAGTTCAAAGTGCGATTCTCTTTGAGGTTGTGTTCCTAGGCTGTGTTCTCTTCTTAGAGACATTCAGAGTCCTTTACTCATCCTCTGCAGTAGAGAGCAGGGACTTCCTCACACTTGATTAATGTCCTGAGGTTTGGGCAAAAGGAATTCCAGAGCCCCCTCGGGTACTAGATCCAAGGAAAGTTTAAATTGCATTGGAAAAAGAATTAATAAAGATGTTTTGGATTTCATTTAAATGTTAAGTTAATGGCCGGGCTCGGTGCCTCAGCCTGTAATCCCGCGCCTTTGGGAGGCTGAGGTGAGTGGATTGCCTGAGCCCGCGGGTTTGAGACCCGCCTGGGCAGCGAGACCTCATCTCTACAATAAATCAAAAAATCAGCCGGGCGTGGTAGCGTGCACCTGTAATTCCGGCTACTTGGAAGGCTGAGACGGAAGGATCGCCGGAGCCCAGCAGGTCGAGGCTGCGGTGGCCGGGAGCGGCCACTACACTCCAGTCTGGGCGACAGAGTGAGACTCCAACTCAAAAAAAAAAAAAAAAGTTAAGTTAATGAATACAATGTATTCATTGTGGTCACAGATGTTAACTTTAGACTGATAATAAATCAGATTCTCAGGGCCCATCTGTCAGTATAGATCTACTCTTGATAGAGTAGCCATACAGATTTTAAATCAAAAGATTATTAAAGTCAGAGATGGGTTTGAGGCAATATTTGACATTGGAAATTCTCTCCTTTTTACATTTGGAGTTTGCACCATGTTCCCCAGACTCTGGAGGCCCTGTTTACAGTTGGGAGGATGAGTTCTGAGGCTTTTGCCAGCATGTTAATCCCTGCATGCGGCTTTCCCGTCTGAAGAGTAGAGGTGCCACCGTCTTCACAGGCTTACGGGAGATTAAGGGAGCAGCAAAGCTGTTTCTGGACTGTGTTTACCTTCCCTAGGAGCAGAGGGAGTGCCCCCTGCTCACTACCCTGAGACTTCCACGAGTCAGATGCATTTCCAGCAATTCGTGGGCTTCATTAAGCTCTCATGGCCAGAGTCCGTGTTAGTTCCTAGTGTTTTGCCTGCCCCACATCTCTAACCGAGTTGCTCACTTTCACTGAATGGCTGCATGTAAACATTCTTATAGTTGTGTACCAAAAGGTGTCCGTTACATGTCAACTATTTGGCCTGATATTTCTTTTTTATTTTTTACTATCCATCAAGAAGGACTAACATACAATTTCTGTCACCCAGGTTGGAGTGCAGTGGCACGCTCACGGCGACCGCAGCCTCGACCTGCTGGCTTCAGACGATCCTTCCACCTCAGCCTTCATGTAATTAGAACTACAGGCATGCAGCTACTACACCTGGCTAATTTTGATTTATTGTAGAGACGAGTTCTCACCAAGTTGCCTGGGGTGGTCTTGAACCCGTGGGCTCAGGCAGTCTACTCACCTCGGCCTCCCAAAGTGCTGGGATTACGGGCTGAACCACCGAGCCTGGCCAGGCCTGATATTTCTAAGGAGTGAAATTAATAGAGCTACATTGTTCAAGGACCCCGCGGTGTGGGAGAGAGGCAACATGTGATGCACATTTAAGTCTTGCTGAGCTGGATGTACAGGAAAGAAGTAACTGGGGATAGGAGTCATGAAAGGCTTTCTTAACAGGCAATTGTTGTGGTGGGCCTTTCCCCATAGAAGCTAAGAGCTTGGTTTTTATTTTATTTCTTATTTTTGAGTCACTCTTGCCCGGGCTGGAGTGAAGTGCCATGTTAATGGCTCACCACAGCCTCCAGCTTCTGGGCTCAAGCTATCCTGCATCGGCTTCCTGAATAGCTGGGACTACAGGCACCCATAACCATGCCCAGTTAATTTTTTTTGTTTTTGTTTTTTTGGTAGATGTGAGGTCTTGCTCTGTTGTTCAGGCTGGTCTTGAACTCCTGGTCTCAAGCAGTTGTCCTGCTTTAGCCTCCCAAAGTGCTAGGGTTACAGATATGAGCCACCGTGCCTGGCTGAGTTCTGTTTTCCAAAGACATTGTAAAAAATGATAAAGTTGACCAGACTCGGTGGCTCAGCTTGTAATCCCAGCACTTTGGGAAGCTGAGGTGAGTGGACTGCCTGAGCCCACGGGTTCAAGACCATCCCAGGCAACTTGGTGAGACCTTGTCTCTACAGTAAATCAAAAATTAGCCAGGCATGATAGTGCATGCCTGTGGTTCTGGCTGCTTGGAGGGCTGAGGCGGAGGAATGGCTGAAGCCCAGCAGGTTGATGCTGGGGTGGATGTGAGCGTGCCACTGCACTCCAGCCTGGGCGACGGAGTGAGACTCCAACTCAAAAAAAAAAGTTCAAAAAAAAAATGATACTGTTGTTGCCAAATCCCATCATACAGATGAAGCCATTCCAAGCTACTCCAGTTGTCAGTGGAGAAGCCTTCACACACAGGCATGCTTCTCTGGGTACACTTCTGCATTAGAGCTTGGGCTTTTGCATTAGATTTAAGTCCCAGCCTTGAGTGCACCTTCTACCAGGCTTGTGGCCTTGGTCAGGTTACTACATGATCTGAGCCTCCATTTCTTTATAGAGGGGCAGTGGTGGTGGAGGGTAACAGTGGTTTGTGAGTTGTCAGTGAAGTCACATACACATGGCTTTTGGTGCAGGGCAAGTGTTGATAACCTGCTAGGTGGGACCTGCTCTTCATGGCCTGTCTTTGGTTTAACCTGCACTGAAGGTGACCCGCCCGCTGGTGTACCCATTGTGTGACAATAGTAGAAATTGTATATTAGTCCTTCTTGATGGATAGAAGGTAGGTAGAATGTTTTCAGAGATTCACTTGCAGCGATTTTCCTTGTTAAGAAATCAGGAATAGCCGGGTTCGGTGGCTCGGCCTGTAATCCTGCACCTTAGGAGGCTGAGGTGAGTGGATTGCCTGAGCCCGTGGGTTCGAGACCCGCCTGGGCAACTTGGCGAGACCGCATCTCTACAATAAAATTAAAAAAAACCAGCTGGGCATGGTTGCGCGTACCTGTAATTCCAGCTACTCAGAAGGCTGAGGCGGAAGGATCGCCAGACCCCAGCAGGTCGAGGCTGCGGTGGCCAGGAGCAGCCACTGCACTCCAGTCTGGGCGACAGAGTGAGACTCCAACTCAAAAAAAAAAAAAGGGGGGGGGGGATCAGGAAAAAGGAGTGGTTTCTTAGAGAAGAATTAAACATGCTGACTTGGTGGTGGCTATAGTTTTGTTTCTCATGTCTGTGGCAGTGGTATTCCTGGAAAAGTCTTGGGTATTTCTTTCCCACAGAGATGGAGCATGGCATGGGGTGGAGGTTTTGACGGAGACTTTGCCAGAAATGAGATGGAAATGTCTTTGGAGAGCTCCTTGGCAGAGAGAGGCGTAAGAAGGCCCCAGGGCCACATGTGAGTGGGTTTTGGTTCCTGGAGTGTACAGGCTTTCTTGATGTTTGCCTGATAATGACCCCAATGTTGGGGTTCCTTCCTAGGCAAAGTCTGGAAATGGCTTCTTTTTAAAAATTGGCATGCAACTCTTATAGGCTGTGGAGGTGAAAATGGCTGCGTTTACCTGACCCTGCTGATCTTCCAGCCCAAGTTGTTTTCAAGGCCCTGTTTGATCTCCTTGCTCCAGGGCGCTGTCATGTTAAGTGAAGTTGACAGGATGGAGTCCTTGCCTGCTCTTGCCTCTGAAAGAGATCTGGATGAATTGGGAGGTTTTCTAACACTCGAGCACGTGGACCTGTCTAGATGCAGAGGAATTCTCTTTTCAGTTTTGGTTAGATGACACAGCAGTTTCTTCTTGACTCTTCCATGGATGTCATATTTCTGTGTTGAGATGTTACTGAGACTGTCTGCTTAATTCTCCGTCATTAGTATGGAGTGAGGAGATTGGCCTTTCTTGGGCCCTAAAGTTGCTTCACTTGAAGGCAGTTTGGGGCATGGACACATCTTCTCTCCCCCAGCCTTGGTTTGCTTCTCATTCTGTGTAGATTTAAGGCTACTTGGTAACCTCCTCAGAGAGCTTCTGTACTCCAGCCGTGGCTTCATGGAGGCCTAGGGGTGGGGGGAGTGAAGATTTTAAGCTGCTGATGTCCAGTTTCTTTTTTGCTGTGTTCTTAGGATGTATGAAAGCCCTAGATTTGTCCTTCGGCTCATCAGTGGAGCAGCATTCATAGACCCCCTGCGTCTCTGTGTCCTTTCTGAGGATCAGGGACTACTGGAATCTGTTTCCCACAGAGTGGTCTGTTTGGCAGAGCCTTTTCTCTTTCTTCCTGACCATAGTTGGGTAACTTGCATGACTTTCTTGCATCTTACAGGCTGCTAGGGAAGACTTACTTTGTTCTAGACCTACTTGCTCTGACTGCCTGTGACTTGCTTTATTGGTTCTAAGGCTTTAGTGTTTGGGGTATGAGTTCATATCTGTCTGTGACTAGGTTGGTTAGAAGCTTCCTGCTGCCATGACTGGCTTCATTTTGTATCTTGGAATGGTGGGGGGGTATTGTTTTTTGTTTTGTTTTGTCTTTTGAGTTGGAGTCACATTCTGTTGCTTAGGCTGGAGTGTAGTGGCACACTCGCAGCCACCGCAGCCTCGACCTGCTGGGCTCAGGTAATACTTCTGCTTCATCCTTCCAAGTAGCTGGAACCACAGGCATGCGCCTCCATGCTCAGCTAATTTTTTGATTTATTGTAGGGACAAGGTCTTGCCCTGTTGCTCAGGCTGGTCTCAAACCTGTGGACTCAGTAGTTCTTTCACCTCTGCCTCCCAATGTGCTGGGATTACAGATGTGAGCTTCTGTGCCTGACTCAGTTATTTTTTAAAATAATTGAAAACTTATTGTCATTTGGCTGCACACACCAATTTGTGCATGCATGTAGCAGAGATAGATGGCATGTGACATGTCTCCCACGGGAGCTTTTCCTTGCTCTCAGCCTGCGACCAGTGCCTCATCCTGGTCCCTGCAGTGGTGCACGAGAGGTAGGTGTGGGCTTTGTGCCTGTGTGGTCACTTCATGCAGCAACAGGAACTTCTTCCTGTTTGGACCTGGGTAGGAACGTGGTCTGCAGGACTGGGTATCTCCTGCTGCCTTGGCACCTTCTTTCTGATTGGCCCTGTGGAGTTTCTTTGTCCTAGAATTCCCTGCTGTCACTTATGATCACACCCACATTAGTAAAATGATCTTTGTCCCAAACAAAATAATGAAGTTGGGTTTTCGGAGTGGTTGCCTGTGCTGATTTCCCAGGCTTAATTCTTGATCTCTTATTTTCTGCGTTGTTCATGTGAGAGCTGGATCTTGGGGTGCTGCTTTCTACAGTGCCTCCCTGCTCAGCGCCTCTTCTCGTGTCAGGGCAGTAGTACAAACGCTGTACTTGGTGCTTCAGGGATATGGACAGTCTATGATCCTTGATCTTGAAGGACATGGTGCAACTGAGGACTCAATACGTACTAAGATGCTAAGGACAGAGCTGTGCCACGTGAAGTGGCCTGGTGAGGGAGCGAGTGGAGATGCTCTGTGCTCAGAACACTGGAGCTACAGGAGGAGGAGCTGTGGGGGGCTGGCTAGGGCAGGCTTGGCATAGGTGGTGGGTGTGCTGCCAGTAGAGCAGCCGCCAGTGTCAAGTGTAGAGACGTGAGGTACCTGGGCACGACAAGAATCTGGCTTTCTTGTCCCATCAGAGTGTATTGGTTGACAGCTTTTGCAGGGAAACCAGCTAGCTCAGGTGTACCTAGCAGGATCTGATCTCAGATGAAACAGAAGAATACCGTCTGTACTTGACTATGGACTGGAGTCTGTGGCTTCCTGGTGTACTTTCCTGCCTCTTCCTTTCCTGGAGGGCTGAAACAGCTGTGGGGTAGGTTTTCATCACTTAGTGGTTATGGTCATAATAGGAAATGTGCTTGTGGCCAGTGTTCAAGTTGCTGAGTATATACCCTAGGACCAGAGAAGGTGGTAGGTACAGAAGACTTCTACTTAACAAAATTTGGACCAGAAACTCGAGAAGGTAGCACTAGGGATAGCTCTGGATAAACTCTGAGAGTGGGAGGGGCTGTGGGCGAGTGAGCAGCAGGGTTGAGCGTGTGTGCGTATGTGAGAGGGCTTGTTTATTTTCCTGAAGCTTGGTCTGTCACCTACCCAACCAACCCAACTCATTTCAGGAAGGGTTGACATGCTAGGATGGGCGGTATCACCACCTGAGCTCAGTAGTGATGTGTCATTCCTTGTGCTGCAGTGTTGTCTTGCTGTGTGATGACAAGAGAGCTGAGTGGCTCTGGGTGACTGAATGCAGGCTTCAGGGGGAAGTCCCTGAGAGAGACCTTAATCTCTGGCTCAGGTGAGACAGGGAATCCTCAGTCCCAGGGTCTGGATCAGCTTTAGATAACTGCCACTGAGCAAGGGCTGATGGCCTCATTCTTGCTGTGACTCTGAGTTCCGATCACGTGCACACGGCTCCTAGCTCTGCTGGGCGCATTCGCAGGTGACCCCACAGACTGGGCCTCAGACTCTGGAGCTACATGGGTCCTGGCATCGTGACTCACCAAGGACTCCTAGATTCCTATAAAATGATCTTGTCTCTGTGTGTGTGTTTCTCAAACCCCTTCCCCTTTCCCTCTTGTTTTTATTCGTAGTCTTTTTACTCTGGAATCTGTAATGAGCACATTTCTATTGCCATAGAGAAATTTGGCTAATTTTTTTTTCTTCCTGATTTCCTTAGAAATCCTAAGTAATGCACTGAAGAGAGGAGAGATCATTGCAAAGCAGGGAGGAGGTAGGAAACGCTTAGTTTGATGTTTTGCTTCTTAGAAGAGGCTGTTACTGCCGGGGAGCAGAGAGCATAGTGGTGAAAATCGTGGCTCTGACACAGACTGCCGGGTGGGACCAGCTCTGCCTCTTCCTAGCTGTGTGTCATTTGGCAAGGCATTGAACCTCTCTGTTTCTCATACTGCTCATTTGTGAGATGGGGATGTAATAGTACCTACCTCAGGGTTGTGGTGAAGAGTAAATGGGCTGATGTATATGAAAGAATACTTCAGAAGTGCTACTAACTGTCACCTGTTGTCATTATTATAATACCTGTGGAATTTTGGGGGCTATATTTCCATACTCTGTATATTCATATTTTCTCCTTGAACCAGATCATAGGGCTGAACGTACTCTACCTAGTATGTAACATGCTACTAAAATACACGACTCAATTCCAAGATTAGGAAGAAGGTCCATGTGATCTGAAGTCCCACTGCCCAGTGATGAAGGCTGTACACATTCTTTCATTAGTACATATTCTTCCATTAGTACAGCTTTTTGGGTACTTAGAACTAAGTGTGCTTTTTCAGCCCGGTTTTCCTCAAGACTCTGGGTGTCTTAGCATTTTCCTGGCATCTCCCCTGGTGAAGATTTCCGTGATGGAAATCTGGATTAGAGCGCCACACAGACACCATTTCTTCCTGATTCTCTGCTGCTGTTGGCATTGGGAGTCACCTTGTTTCTCAGACTATTGAGCAGGTTCCCCACCCTCGTTTGGCTCCTTACCTTTTCCTGTTATAATGTGAGAAGTCAGACAGTTTCTGAAACCTTTCTTCTCTGAAAGTCTAATTGTCTTAAAGTTGGGCTTGGTTTTTGCTACTTGATGTGCTGCTGTGCAGCTAAGGACCCAGGCACAGAGAAGTGGAATGACTTGGCCTTGGTCAGTTATAGAGGCAGTTCGAAAAACTGCTGAGTTTCTTCTTCCTGAATTTGTATTTTGACCTGGGCTGTATGGGTCAGTCAGGGGCTGGTTCTGGGCTGGACCGCCCACTCTCAGAGGCAGGTAGTGATGGCAAGGCCTGAAGGAGGAGCCTTGAGCTCAGCTCGGAAATGTGACGGGTGGTGGCCTTGATGGTGGGGCCAGACCCTCCCTGTCCAGAGTTGCAAGCACCACAGACAGGGGTCCCCGTGTACTGCCAGAATGACCCCAGGCCTCTTCCAGAGCCCATTCTGCAGTGCCGTTGACACCTTCCTTCCTTCCAAAACCAGCAAATCAGACACAAGTCAGTTGGCAGTTTCCCTGACAGTAAGTTCCCCAGAAATGGCCAGCTGGGTCCCTTTGTGCACAGAGGCTCTGTGCTGGGGCTTGGGTTTGTTTTCTTTTCTTCTACTCAATTACAGGCTGTACCATTGCTGCTCTGTGCCCTGGACATGCTAGGGAAACGCAGTCAGACCAGCTACCAGCAGAGCATCTTGGGGGACAGTTAGGAGAGGATAGAAGTTGGGAGTGACTGAGCTGTCTCTGCATTAACTCCTGTCTTAGTCTATTACACTGGGTGGCCCTCTGGGTAGGGGGTTTCCATACCCCCCCTGCCCCCACAAGCATTTCTGTTATGGGGAAAGCTCAGAGGTCTCAGGAGTTATTGTCCATAGTTAAGCTTGTCACAAAGCTGATCCCCATGCAGGTGGGGTTTTCTTTTTTAAGTTTGATGATGGAAATGTCAGCCGTGGCAGAGTAGGAAGAATGATGTGAGGACTCATAGACCCACTCTCCAGCTTTAACAGTTGTCAACATTTGGGAGTGTCGTAATGGTAAATTATTTTGGGGCTAGTTCCTGATCTCTTCTTATGAATTGACGTACCCAGGGCTGGCACTGTATGTGCCCACACACATGTGTCCCTGACACCCACCTGTGTTCTGTGTCTCTCTTTCAGGTGGAGGTGGAGGCAGTGTCCCCGGGATCGAGAGAATGGGCCCTGGCATTGACCGCATTGGGGGTGCCGGCATGGAGCGCATGGGCGCAGGCCTGGGCCATGGCATGGATCGCGTGGGCTCTGAGATTGAGCGCATGGGCCTGGTCATGGACCGCATGGGCTCCGTGGAGCGCATGGGCTCCGGCATCGAGCGCATGGGCCCATTGGGCCTTGACCACATGGCCTCCAGCATCGAGCGCATGGGCCAGACCATGGAGCGCATCGGCTCCGGTGTGGAGCGCATGGGCGCCGGCATGGGCTTCGGCCTGGAGCGCATGGCCGCCCCCATCGACCGCGTGGGCCAAACCATTGAGCGCATGGGCTCTGGTGTGGAGCGCATGGGCCCTGCCATTGAGCGCATGGGCCTGAGCATGGAGCGCATGGTGCCCGCGGGTATGGGAGCTGGCCTGGAGCGCATGGGCCCTGTTATGGATCGCATGGCCACCGGCCTGGAGCGCATGGGCGCCAACAACCTGGAGCGGATGGGCCTGGAGCGCATGGGCGCCAACAGTCTGGAGCGGATGGGCCTGGAGCGCATGGGCGCTAACAGCCTGGAGCGCATGGGCCCCGCCATGGGCCCGGCCCTGGGCGCTGGCATTGAGCGCATGGGCCTGGCCATGGGCGGCGGTGGCGGTGCCAGCTTTGACCGCGCCATTGAGATGGAGCGTGGCAACTTTGGAGGAAGCTTCGCAGGTTCCTTTGGTGGAGCTGGAGGCCATGCTCCTGGGGTGGCCAGGAAGGCCTGCCAGATATTTGTGAGAAATGTAAGTGGCTCTTCAGGAACGTCTGGATGTTACTGTGTGAGGCGAGAAGGGGGTGGGGCTGGTGGGGGAAGTCAGGTGATGCCCTCCAGAGGGGAGCTGAGTTGCATGGCGAGCACATCTGGAGCCACTGTTGGGTGCTTCTGTGGGCCACACCCCACAGGCCCTGAGCGTCTCACTCTGCACGATGCTCTCACAGACAGGCAGAGCCCAGGGAGAGAGCTGACTGGGCCACTTCACAACCTTGTCCCACATAGATTGTTTTGTGCCCTGTCCAGTCCTCTCCATCTGAAGGGCAGGCAGCTTCTGTGTAATGAGAAATTCTGATGTCACCCCCCCAGAGCCAGCTGGGAGGTCTGTGCTTTGGGGTCTGGCTGACTTGCACATCAGTCTTCCTCTTTTTTCCCCTCAGCTTCCGTTTGATTTTACATGGAAGATGCTGAAGGACAAGTTCAACGAATGTGGTGAGTGTCGGAGAAAGGCATTCTGAGTGCTTCTGTGTGTCATGTCCTGTTGGTGGTGCTGCTGAGTCATCGGCGAAGCTTCCCTTCTCGTCTTCGATCCCCTCCTGGTGGCTCCAGAGACTAATGGGCCTTGCCGTTTTGCTGCCTATGCAGATACGCAAGCCGGTTGTTGAGTGTCCTGTCATTTGTCCAGTGGGCTTTTCATCTGTGTTCTTGTTTTCACTCCTAGCTTGCTTTTTTCCTTCCTTTTTGGAGTCTTTGAAAGGCGATAGTATTGTTTCCCCCATTTCACAAGTGAATCAGGCACAGTCACCTGCTAGGTAAATACACCTCAGACAGGTTGCTTTCCCTTACTGCACAGCTGACTCAGTGCCTCAGAACTCTCGCTGACCCCGCAGGTGCCACAGGGATGCTCTGCGGCGTCTGGGCACACAGCAGCTTGTCTGTGGGTGAGGCTGGAGTCTGGTGGTGGCTTCCTGGCACACCAGCCCACCCTTCTGGAAGACCCCTCTGTGGCCGAAGGGAAGGGAAATTGTCTTTCCCTGCCCTCCAGGGTAACCCCCACCACTCTCCCCACCACCCGGTCAGTGTGGGCCCTGAGCGAGAGGGCTGGGTAGCCACAGCCTCAGGGCTTCCTCAGTGTTCTCTCACTTCCTGTTTCAGCAGTGGCTCCAGTTTCACCATTGCCACTCTTCTGGTTCTCCTGGGCACGCTGTTGCGTCACAGCTGCCTTCTCATCCCGTTTTTGTCCTCCCCACTCCTCAGCTAGCACACGTAGCTAGATGTTCCTGAGTCAGATGGGATCATCTGCTTGCCTTGCCTCTAAATGCTCCACCGGGCCTTCTGCCTACGAGAGAATGTCCACACTCTGAAACTCTCCAGGGTTTGGTCCCATCCTCTTCCTCCATCTCCTTCCTGTCCCTGCACCTGAGCTACAGAGGCTGCACCTCCCCTGAAACATTCTGGCATGAGCTGTCACCAGCAAGCCTACCTTCTGGGGAATTTCCCTTGAGCTCTTCGGAACTTTCCTCTCAGGGAAGCCCCATCCCCGATGTTGGCCCTTCTAGGCAGAGGGAGTGCCTCTGGCATTGTGGGCCCCTGGCACTGGCTGCCCTGTGGTGTCCTGGACACTTGGAGCAGAACCCTGGTTTCTAGAGCTCTTACCTGTAGACCTGATGTCTTTCCATGGTGTTGACACATACCTGGATGTTTAACGGGTACTTGAACCAGTAAGTGTAACCCACTTGCTAAGTATTACCTGGCTTACATTTGGACAGTACAGACACATCACATGGATCGGCAATGGCCCTGTACCCAGGGCTGGCGGTGTCTCGAAAATGAAGCCTCTAGAATTTGTCTATAAAGTTGGCTTGACACAGACCCTTCTTGTTTGAACTTGCAAGAGCACCTCGGCCTGCAGTTCAGTCCACCTGGAAAGCTTTTCCTGAAGTGCCTCAGACTGGTGTCCTGCTCGCAGGAGAATGGCCGTGTGGCCGGGCCTGCAGCTGCTCCCACCATTCTGCCCTGGGCATTTGTGCTCCAGGCATGAGGGTCTCTGACTCTGTCCCCGGAATCCAGCAGGTGATCTGGGCTGAGCTCTGGTCTTGCCTGACGAGTGTGGTTTCTCGTTCCCGCCCTGTGCCAGGCCACGTGCTGTATGCCGACATCAAGATGGAGAACGGGAAGTCCAAGGGCTGCGGCGTGGTGAAGTTTGAGTCGCCGGAGGTGGCGGAGCGAGCCTGCCGGATGATGAACGGCATGAAGCTGAGTGGCCGGGAGATTGATGTTCGAATCGACAGGAATGCCTGAGCGGTTGCCTTTGCTCGACATCCGTACCAGGCCTCTGAATTTGTACTTCTTGTTAGCCATCCTAATTTGTGGGCCGGATGTATAAAGATGTTTAAAAACTCAGTTGCTTTTTGGGGTACTTTGAATTACTTTTTTAATGACTGGGATTCCATTTGACTGTTGGCATTGAGATTGCAATGTGCGCAATTTTTTTTGTAGTTGTGGCATCTTGTTGACGTCGAATATGACTTTGATAATAAATACCAGTTCCTGAAAGCGGCTTGCTTGTGCGTGTGTTGGGGCGACCACCCAAGGTGTGTGGAGCTGGAGCCACTCAGGCCTCCAGCCTCCCTCAGCAGCAACCACCAGGGCTCTTATCCCTGTCTTGCTTGTCTGGGGGCCCAGGTGGGAACACTGCCCTACGGAAGCACCCTCTGAGTGGTCTTGGATTCCCCTAGTGCTGCCACTGGAGTGTTTGGCTGTTGGGAGCTCTCCGGAGAGCCGTGCCATTTCCCTCTTGTGGGGCACAGCCCCCGTGCCAGGCCCCTTTCCGGGGGCTTCTTTCTTGCTAATACAGATCAAGCAGTGGACCAGCTTCCTGGTGTTAGTCCCGTAGGTGTTCAGGACGAATTTGTTACCTAGGCTCTTTCAGAGTCGTGGTGGCCCCCTCGCCCCAGTGCTCTCCTAGATCCCCTGGGGCTAGACGGCCGTGCAGCCTGCGGGAGCCTGGCTCCTGCAAGTCGTCCTGGGTGTGAAGGGTCATGGTGCGGCGGGCCCTGCAGCCACTGACCAGAGAGAGTCTGGTCACTTGAGTCCCACCTGGCTTGCCAGCTGCTTCTGGCCTCAGTGTCCTGCCTCACTTTATCCCTGAGGGGTGAGAACATGGTGGGGCAGTGACCTCACAGACACGCCCTTGGATTTGATCAGGGTTCCCGTAACTTTGCTCCACTGTGTGTGCCAATCAGGAGGGAAAGAAAAGACCGGAGGCAGGGATCGTTTCGCAGAGGGGCTTTATGTGGCCAGGCAGGAGCCCGGGCAGTTCCAGGACTCGGCCGCGCTGGGATCCAGGATTCCTGAGCTAGTGTGTTCTGGGCTGATGGGCAGGCCTGGGCCCCTCAGCTGCGGGCCTTACCGTCCCCGGGGGAGTGGTTCACTCTCCAGAGGATCTGCCAAGGAAGCGGGACCACCGTTCACCCCTCCCCAGGAGCGCCATGGCCAGCAGCCCCCAGGGAGTCCCCAGCCCACCATGTCTACGTACCCCAGAAGCCCACGTCGTCATACACCTCCGTCTCCCTGGCAGAGAAAACAGTGTGTCAGCAGGGGTGCCCTGGCCGGTTAGCCTCCACCCACTGCCCCGTGGTCAGGCCGGCACTCACAGGGGCAGCAGAGCGATTCTGGGCACATAGCCATCTGTGGAGAGAGCAGGCATGGTGGGTCCTTGGCCCGGGCTCCGCGGCCTCCCGGGCTGTGGGCCGGTCACTCACACTTGCCCTTGGGGTCCCGGCACAGCATCTCCTCCTTGCTGGTGAACTCGATCACCTCCAGGATCTCACCGCGCCGGATGCCCAGGTGCTTTCCGCCCCCACGCCGAGTCTTGGCATTGGGGTCGATCATCATCTTCGTGTGAACCACGATCTCCCCTTCGAACTGCGGGCGGGATGGTGGGGCTTTTCTCGTGCTCTCACCCCGGGTACCACTCCTTTGGGAAGGTGGGATCTGAGCGGCCCTGGACCCACCCTTCCCAGGACTCCACACCTTGAACTTCTTCCGGAACTCTCTCTCGGCCTTCTCTGCTTTCCTCATCTGCTTCAGCTGCTTGGGGTCTGTGGGCAGCGGCTGCTGTGGCGTGGGGGCCTTCTCCTTGCTGGCCCCACCCAAGGAATTGGGGTGCTTGTGAGCAAGATGTGCTCCTCTTGGGTCCCACTGTTCTCCCAGAGTTCTCCCAGCCCCCTACCCCGCCTCCTCTGTCCCCGGGCACCTGAGCTCAGGGTCTTGTGGTGGCCTCTTAGCGTCTTGCTGGGTTGAGGGCGCTTGATCTGGGGAGCAGTCAGCACGTAAGAGTCAGGGCGGCTTGATCTTGAGTGAGCCCTCCCTGTGTCGGTTCTCAGACCCTCCCCGAATCTAGCCAGATTCCCCCACCCCTCAGCCTGCCCACCTTCTCCCCCAGGCCTTTCTGGGAGGTTCTCAGCTCCTGCCACAGACTAGGCCCAATGGAACTGCATGACCACGGTCACTCCCCACAGCCCTCACAGCCCCCTTATTCATGCTAGTAGGTGATACTGCCATTCCCAACTTGCCCGCCAGGAAATAGAGGCTCAGAGGGGTCAAGAAAGCTTCCCAAGGTCACCCGGCTGGAAAGTACAGAACCAGGATTTAGTTATAGGCCATTTTACTTATGCTTCCTAGAACAGGTTGGGTTCTGGGGACTGAAATGAGATTCGGGTGAAAAAATAAGGCAGGGGAGGATGGAGATTGGCCAACAGGTACAAAGTTACAATGAGGAGGAATAAGCTCATTACACAGTTGGTGGTTGGCAGTTCACGGGAAAACATTGGACATCACAGAATAGCTAGAAGAGAGGCTGGTAAATGTTCTCACCACAGGGAAGTTATAAAAGCATGTCAGCGGTGCTGATCAGATCATTATACAACATGGACATGTGTCAGGACATCAAGATTCCCTCATCGATGTCAATTACAATGTGTCCATTTAAAAAATAATTTTAAAAAGGAAAAACAAGGCAGAGGAGAGCATCCCGAGGACAACTAAAAGAGCTTCCAGGCTGGGGCTCTTGGACTGATGACTGGCCCGAGGGGTCTCCCAAAATGAGGACCCATTCATGCCACTTCCTGGCCAATAACCAGGCTTCCAGGTTTGAGCCCTGCTGGCCAGGGTTTTGGCGTCCAGCGGGAGTCTCAGGAGCCCAGGTGAGCGAAGGATCCTGAACTGCATCCCCAGCTTGTCCCCTCTGCATGACTACAAGCGTCCCTGTGGGCATGTAAGGCCAGGAGGTCTCCTCTAAGCAGCCTGGGGGGTAGAGGGGCACCTGGATC